ATATTCTGTCTGCTATATGAATATCTTATTGTCCGAAATTTAAATTCCGAAATTTAAATTCGATACGTAGTACTTTTGATAACGGTGTACCACATGCAATTTATCATTTATATGTTTAATTTGTAACATTATTTGGAAATGCGTGACTTCAACTAACAACAATTATATTTTTAAAAGTTCAAAATTAAAATCGGTATAATTATTCACGTTTTTTTGCAAATTTATTATGTCTTGAAAGTTACATTATTGATCACATATAAGAAAATCGCAAGTGACCAAAAAATGATAAAACATTGAAATACAATTAAGCACATTGCAATAGACATAATAAGTCACACCTTTTTTTATATACCTACATTTAGTAATAAATATATTCTTTATATTATTTATCAAACAGTGTCGGTTTTATCGACACTGGGTTTTTTTTTACACTAAGTATCATAGGCACACAAATAACAATTCTTGCGCGCAAAGTTTGCGCGTCTTATGCAAATAATCTGTGTAGCAGTTTGCCTGAATTTTGCTTGTGGGATATGTTTAGTCGTGTATAAGTCGTGTATTGCCCGCAAAGTGCAAGCGTTTTGCAAGTGTGCTAACATTTTGCTACCGCTATGACAACGCACTAGGATAAGGTTTTGTGTGCGCAGTATGAGCCATTTTTGTACGTGAGTTGCTAGATATTTATGGGCATAATGTTTTCTGGGCAATTGCATAGGGGCGCCACGAGAGAAGGGGACGCCTATCCGTTGCTAAAAACAATGAACGATTTAAACAATTGCGAAAAAAAACAAGTTTTTTTATGTGGGCATTGATCAAACAGTTTTTACAAACACCGTCGAAGAAACACATGTTGAAAATGACAAATAAAGTAAAAATAATTGACAAATTGAAAATGAGATTGATGTTTGTAATTTTCGTACACTTTAGTATCTTGAAGCCGAGATCTGTGTACACTTTAATAATGTCTCTAGTAGAAAAATTAATTTTCTATATGAAAACATTAATAATTTTTGCACTAACATTCAGTGATGGCTAGAGATGGCTTTTAATATATAATATATTAATTTAAAATTATTTTATTGATTTAAACTTATATTTTATTTTTTTCTATGCTCTTGTTTTTATTTGAAAAGTGAATAAAAATTTAAAGAATTTAACATAATTTTTACTTATTTGATACCTTCTCATCTTAAATGAAAAAATACATGAGACACACCAAAATATTGCCTAAAAGCGAACTAAAAGTTTTAAAACCGGCACTAATGTCAAAATTAATTAAAGAATATATTGAGACGCGATAGTTTCTAACGTCATATAAAAACCAATCATGTCATGTAATGTGCTCCAATATTATATAAATAATTATTTTATATTAATTATTAATTATTAATTTTTAATTATTTACCTTCAAAAATCATTAAATTATGTAATACGTATTTCTTTGTTTTTGTTTCAAACATTTAGACTTTTTTTACAAATTAATAAAATATTAATTAAACATTAAACAACATTAAATAACACAAAGTTGGATAACATTGCGGATTATTATTCTGCTTTACGTAATCACATTTCGACACATTCTATCGAATGTAATAATAATGCTTCCATTTTATTTAATACACTATACTTCCTTCTCATGAACATGTCTATTATTACTATTCTCTTATGTAGTTTTTACTAATAGTAATCGATAAAGTTAGTTTTTAATAATAAAAAAATCTAGATAATTTTTCATAAATTAATTTTTATGAAATAAAAACGGGAAAATAAATGAAATAAAAATTAACAACGATAATTCAGCGAATTTTAAGTCAAATGGTAACAAATTGATCAACGGTTCTAAACTGTCACGCAGTTTGCAATTTTTGTTCCTTGGATCTTCATTCATACATTTTGATCATGTCCCGTCAATAATTTTTCGAATTATTTATATTCTTCGAATGAGTAATTTTCCGGCAGACAATGATGCTGCCGGCAGTAATAATTTTGGCCATCTTTCTTGTGACACAACGTTCCATCGGGAAAGTACGGGTCGACACCAATGTTGAGCATTTCTTGGCGTGGAGCGTAGTAATCAGATGATTTTTTCTTTCGACAGTATATAGTACATGCTATCCACGGTTCCTTGGCATCATGAGAATACTGTCGCCCCGGCAGATTTACTGACAGTTTGCCCGTCAAATTTGCATCTTTCGCAAATTTGTTAAACTTCCTGCATTTTGTGTAAGTAATCTCGTCGATCGACCATCGTTCCTCAGTGCAGAGCAAGATATCATCGCAAATAACCATGTTGTGATATAATCCTATGCAATTCGCCGTTCTATGAGCCTTATGTTCGCAAGAACGTCGTTTGACAAGTACGCCTTTGGATTTCCTTTAAGCAACTGCTTTTACAAGAGTCTTCCTTCCATTCACTCCAGTTGTCATCTTCACAATACTTAAAAATATACGGCGGTTCGATAATGGGCACGCATTCTCCGCCACGACATTCTTTCCCGAGTGCGCAATGAGTTCCTAACAGAAATAAATACATTTAATGTATCAAGAAAATTAAACAATAAAATTTAAGTAAATAATCAGAAGAAATAACGTACCATTCAACGCGCGTCCGGAGAAGTAAGACTTATTCTTGTGAGGCGTCTCACATTGTAAATTTTGACATATACCATGTAACGTGATCACATTTGCATCTTTGTCGCGCAAAAATAATTCACATTGTGCTTTAGCGGTCCATTCTCTTCCGGGTAAACCGTAATATTGCGAATCTTGAAGTATATCAGATGTCGCCCAATTATCATCATAGTCATCGTTATTACCATCGTCATTATCAACGAGTTTTTTGCGCTTCATATTATCTCGCAAACACGATTTCTTTTTCAACTGAATTTTTATCTTTTCGCGACTCTTTGGGGACCATGTTATGTTTCCTCGATAAGGCCGAACACGTGACATTATAGGCACATTGTTCATGGTTTCATCATTTTGTTCCCCATCGGGTTCCAATCCTAAACTGTTGAGCGTGTAAATCAAAAATTTTGAAATATGTTTTTTACTTTGCATTGTTTAAGTAAAATACTTTTCTGTAATTTATAATTGTTTAATACTTAACATACTGAACAATTAAACAATAAAATCTCTTAATATACTTTCCAAACTTTTTATTTTTAAACGTACAAATAAATAAATTTTTGTAGAAAAATATTAAACTTAATTAATACATAACATTGGTATATACTTACAGACTGCCAATTAAATGAACGGCATTAAGAGACGATCTTAAACCTGAACTTTCGATTTCATTTGGAGGAAATTGGACTATCGCGCATGAATTATGGTGGCTGCATGCGCCATCAAAGTAAGTTTGTCCCCAAACTTCATAGTTTGTTTTCACTGCAATCCCATGAGCTATTAATTCGTACTCAAAAAGATCTGTTCCTGTTATGTAAAGGCTAATGTCCCAGTGACCTGTATCTGTCAGGTTATCATATGGAGGATTGAGTGCTTTCGTGTACTTGCAGAACGAAAGGAGCAATGATAAACTTCTGTCAGTAACATTCAAAGTTGCCGGTTGATTTTGCAAAATGTTTAAATGTACCAAAGAAATATCGATAGGGATACCTAAGGTCGGAAGATGAAAAAATGTCTGCATATTATTCACATATGCATACATCATATCGTTAATCTTTGTATCATCGTGTAGAATAGACTTAAACTTGCGATATGCATTTACATCAACGAATACGGCCAATTCTATGGTAAATTTTACTTGCCCGTTTGGTTTTTGTGTCTTATTTTTTTTTATTTTTTGTATTTTATCGATGTAACCTCGTTTTAATCTGATATTGTGCAAAAAATCGAAATCGGCGAAATATGGCAGCAATCTTTTAACGAGGTAAGGTATGCCGAATGAAAGATTCTTCTCTTTTGTAACGCAGAAATCGTCGATGAAGAACAAAGGTGTGAACACGTTTCGCAAAGGTCGAATCTCTAATATATCGTCTTCCACAAAAATAATTCCTTCCTACTTTTAAAAAATGTACATGTTTTTTACTTGTCAAATAAAGAAATATTAAAGTGGAAAATAAAACTATGACCATTTCAACAGTTTGTTTTTCATATGATACCACTGACCAATCCATGTTCTTGACAAAAGTTGATGGCCGCAGAGCTGACATGACCTTCGTGAAAATAAAAGCAATTATCCAATGCTTTCAACTTCCACAATTTTTCTGCAACACCTTTTGCGTTATTTCCCCATACATCGAACGCAGACGATGCAACCTGATCATTTCTACGCAGGTTGAGCTGTATGAATTTTCCGAAAACTTTCAGAGTTAATGGAATCTGTTAATTGAATCACAAGAAAGGACATAATAATCTACGAATAATGGTTCATGCTTTGAGCAATAAATAAAACATTACAATACAACGCACGTACCTTTTTTGCTCCTGCCGGGTTCCATGCCGGCAGCAATATTATTTCGCTGTCTTGTGTGATATACGCGTACGTCTGATTTATTAAAACTATTAATATTATTTTCAATAAATGAAACATATTCAGTTTGTGTGTGATTGTCCCTATTTAATTGAAAAAATTTAACTAGACTTTTTTTATAAATTACAAGTTCTTTTATACATATGTAATTAAACCGTTACTTTCGATATATGTTAGCAGATCGCGTGTCAAACATATACTGATGTCTGCGCTTAAGAATCTTTCGTGTCGTAACATCTGTTGTATATATTCTCTCTGCTATATGAATATACTTATTATCCGTATCCGAAATCTAAATACGTGGTACTTTTGATAACGGTGTATCAAATGCAATATATTTCTTATATGTTTAATTTGTAACATTATTTGAAAATGCGTGATTTTAACTGACAACAATAAGATTTTTAAAAATTCAAAATTAAGATCGGTATAATTATTCACTATTTACTGTGAATCCAGTACCAATTATGTCTTGAAAGTTACATTACTATTCACGTATGAAAAAATCGCAAGTTACCAAAAAATGATAAAACATTGAAATGCAATTAAGCTTATTGCTATAAATATTGTAAGTCAAACTTTTTTTCATATACATTCTGTTCAATAAAAATATTCCTCATATTATAGATCAAAATTAATTAAAGAATATATTGAGACGCGATTGTTTCTCACGTCATATAAAAACCAATCATGTCATGTAAGGTGCTCCAAAATTATATAAATAATAATTATTTATTAATTATTAATTATTAAAAATACAAATAATATTAAGTTATTGCTCTTTCTTAATTAAATTAAAAATCGTTTTAATATAAAGCCAACAGAGCAAGAGCTGGATCGATTTGCTCAAAAATTCTTTTTTTATTATAAATTTATACAGACGTTTCGGCCAAGGTACGTGGCCATCTTCAGTGTAATACAATTATAAAGCTTAGTACATAATTAGAGAAGCGTTGGTAATATTTTGACTAAGGAAACGCATCCTGTTAAAGTGAAAAAACAACAATCCAATTAGAGGTATTCTTACGGCTCAAACAAATTATTGAAAAATTCTGTGTATAAATACCTCTGATAAAACATGTAGTACAATAGTAAAATCATATACGTGTAAAGCCACGAACCGTTTAATTTGCAAAATTAGAAAAACAAAAAGAAAGAAATTATAAAAATAAGTTAAAACAAATAAAAGACATGAAAAATTAATTTTGAATATCTATACCTTGAACGGTTTGTCAACGATTATGTAAAAGAAATGTGACATGTGTCCACGGCTGTAAGTGGGACTCGACTGGTAAGGATGTAGGATGGAAAGGAAAGAGGGGATAGGTTATAGACAAAAATTACAGGGTGGGGAATTTTTTGAGTATTGGAAGATAAGTATCCGGTAATGATTCTGTGTCCTCCTGTTTGTTCAGTCCTGTATTCTGTCTTTTTATATGTAGCATTTCGGAAGTTAATCTTTTGCTATAACAAGGTTCTCTGTCTAATATGTCAATTTCGTCCCATTTAAAGTCATGATTAAAATCCATTCTGTGGCACGAAATTACTGAGGGGAAGCCTGTTTTTTTATTGATATCCGTTCTGTGTTCTTTTATTCTAGTCCGTAATTGTCTTTTTGTCTGTCCTACGTACGTAGCGTCACAGTCTCGACAAGAAATCTTATAGACAATTTCACACTGGTTTATCCTATCTAGAGAGTCTTTTCCGGTTTTTATAAATTTGTTTAATTTATTGTCGCACGAAAAGGCCAACATACAATCGTTACTTTTTGAGATTTGAACAAATTGTTCCGATAAATTTTTTACATATCGTTATTAATTATTAATTATTTACATTCAAAAATCATTGAATTATATAATACGTTTTTCTTTATTTTTGTTTCGAATATTTATATTTTTTTTACAAATTAATAGAACATTAATTAAACATTAAGCAATTTGGAATTGGATGACATAGCGGATAATTATTCTGCTTTACGTAATCACATTTCGACACTTCTTTCGAATGTAATAATAATGCCTTCATTATATTTAATACATTATACTTCCTTGTCATGAACATATCTTTAATTACAATTCCCTTCTTTTGTTTTTACTAACAGTAATCGATAAATTTTGTTTTTAATAATAAAAAAATCTAGATAATTATTTATAAATTTGTTTTGATGACATAAAAAATAGACAATGAGTGAAACAGATGTTAACAATAAATAATTTAGTGGAAAGTCTCTACTCCAAATCAAATGGTAACAAATTGATCAACGGTTCTAAACTGTCACGCAGTTTGCAATTTTTGTTCCTTGGATTCTCATTTATACATTTTGATCATGTCAATTGATCCCGTCAATAATTTTTCAAATTATTTATATTCTTCGAATGAGTAATTTTCCGGCAGACAATGATGCTGCCGGCAGTAATAATCCTGGCCATCTTTCTTGTGACACAACGTTCCATCGGGAAAGTACGGGTCGACACCAATATTGAGCATTTCTTGGCGTGGAGCGTAGTAATCAGATGATTTTTTCTTTCGACAGTATATAGTACATGCTTTCCACGGTTCCTTGGCATCATGAGGATACTGTCGCCCCGGCAGATTTACTGACAGTTTGCCCGTCAAATTTGCATCTTTCGCAAATTTGTTAAACTTTCTGCATTTTGTGGTAGTAATCTCGTCGATCGTCCATCGCTCATCAGTGCAGAGTAAGAAATCATCGCATATAACCATGTCGTAATATGGTTCTATGCAATTTGCCGTTCTATGAGCCCTATGTTCGCAAGAACGTCGTTTGACAAGTACGCCTTTGGATTTCCTTAAGCAACTGCTTTTACAAGAGTCTTCCTTCCATTCACTCCAGTTGTCGACTTCACAATATTTAAAAATATACGGCGGTTCGATAATGGGCACGCATTTTCCGCCACGACATTCTTTCCCGAGTGCGCAATAAGTTCCTAAAAGAAAAATCAATACATTTAATGTATTAAATAAAATAAACAATAAAATTTAAGTAAATAATCAGAAAAAATGACGTACCATTCAACGCGCGTCCGGCGATGTAAAACTTATTCTTCTGTGGCGTCTCACACTGTAAATTTTGACATATACCATGTAACGTGACCACATTTGCATCTTTGTCGCGCAAAAATAATTCGCATTGTGCTTTAGCGGTCCATTCTCTTCCGGGTAAACCGTAATATTGCGAATCTTGAAATATGGCAGATGTCGACCAATTATCATCATAGTCATCGTTATTAACATCGTCATTATCATCGAGCTTTTTCCGTTTCATATTATCTCGCAAACACGATTTTTTTTCCAACTGAATTTTTATCTTTTCACGACTTTTTGATGACCATGTTATGTTTCCTCGATAGGGCCGAACACGTGACATTATGGACACATCGTTCATGTATTCATTTTTTTGGTTCTCGTCGGAATCCTCGTCCAATCCTAAACTGTCAAACGTGTACATCAAATTTTAAAATACGTTTTTTACTTTGCATTGTTTTACTTTGCTGTAAAATACTTTTCTGTAATTTATAATTTTTGAATACCTAACATACTGAACAATTAAACAATAAAATCTTTTAATATACTTTTCAAACTTTTTACTTTTAAACGTACAATTAAATAAATTTTAGTAAAAAATTATTAAACTTAATAAATAAACGAGAAATATAATAGAAGAGCATTAAGAGCCGTCTCAGGATGTTAGTGCTAAATTTTTAATTTTTCTTAAAGAAATTAATAAATTAATCCAGAAGAGACAGTTAGATTGTACACCGATCTCAGATCGAGATACCTAAAGTGTACGAAATTTTAAATACATTGTTCTCATGTATCGAGAAACTTTCTATTATATTTCTTGATTGTTATCATATAAAGCTTTACTATTATATGTGTTTTTAAATCACGCCGGCATTAAGACGCGTTTATGTCCTACAGAATTGTTGATTTCCTAATCTAGAAGAGATAAATGTTAGAAGCGTGGGGTCTAAGTAGTTTAGTGGTCAGAACATTCGCCCGGCAAGCGGAATATCCGGGTTCAATTCCCGGCTTAGCTATTTATGCCCTGATATTTTTTCTCTCTTCCTTTCTTTCCAATAATTCCTATACTTTCATTAAGTTTCCCGATATATGAGAACAATGTACTTAAAATTTCGTACACTTAGGTATCTCGATCTGAGATCGGTGTACAATCTAACTGTCTCTTGTAGACTAATTTATTAATTTCTTTAAGAAAAATTAAAAATTTAGCACTAACATCCTGCGACGGCTCTTACTGTTCTTCTATTATATTTCTTGGTTGTTATCATATAGAGCCTTACTATTATATGTATTAATAAATAAACTTGGTATACACTTACAGATTGCCGATTAAATGAACGGCATTAAGAGACGATTTTAAACCTGAACTTTCGATTTCATTTGGAAGAAATTGAACTACAGCGCATGAATAATGCTCGCTGCATGCGTCATCAAAGTAAGTTTGTCCCCAAACTTCTTCATTTCGGTAAGACGTACGCCCCCACTTCCCACGATACACACGTATACGCCTATAAAGTGTTTTTCCGGTTATGTAAAGACCAATATCCCAGTGATTTGGATCACCTTGTGAAGGATTGAGAGTTTCCGCGTATTTGCAAAACGAAGGGAGCAGTACTGCGACATTGTTGTCAAACACGAGGAAACCTGATGGTTGTTGTGACCAAATATCCAGATGAACCAAAGAAATATCAATAGGGATACCCAAAGTCGGATGATGAAAGAAAATCTGAATATTATTCACATATGCATACATCATATCGTTAATCTTTGTATCATCGTGTAGAATAGATTTTAATTTGCGATATGCATTTACATCAACGAATACGGCCAATTCTATAGTAAATTTTACTTGCACGTTTGGTTTTTGTGTTTCCCTTTTTTTTGTTCTTTGTATTTCATCGATGTAACCTCGTTTTAATCTGATATTGTGCAAAAGATCGGAATCGGCGAAATATGGCAGCGATCTTTTAACGAGGTAAGGTATGCCGAATGAAAGATTCTTCTCTTTTGTAACGCAGAAATCGTCGATGACAAACAATGGTGTGAACACGTTCCGCAAAGACCGAATCTCTAATATATCGTCTTCCACAAAAATAATTCCTTTCTATTTTAAAAAAATATATATATGTTTTATACTTAACAAATAAAAAGAAATAAAGGTGGAAAGTAAAGCCATGACAATTTCAACAGTTTGTTTTTCATATAATACCACTGACCAATCCATGTTCTTGACAAAAGTTGATGGCCGCAAAGCTGAACTGATTCTCGTGAAGATAGAAGCAAATATTCGGTGCTTTCAACTTCCACAATTTTTCTGCAACACCTCTTGCGTTATTTCCCCATACATCGAACGCAGACGATGCAACCTGATCATTTCTACGCAGGTTGAGCTGTATGAATTTTCCGAAAACTTTCAGAGTTAATGGAATCTGTTAATTTAATAACAAGAAAAGACATTATAATTTACGAATAATGCTTTAGGCGTTCTGCAATAAATAAAACATTACGATACAACGGACGTACCTTTTTTGCTTTTACCGGGTTCCATGCCGGCAGCAATATTATTTCGCTATCTTGTGTGATATACGCGTGCGTCAGATTTATTAAAATTATTAATACCAATTTCAATAAAAGAAACATGTTTAGTTTGTTTGTCTCTATTTAATTGAAAAAATTTAACTGAACTATTTTTATAAATTACAAGTTCTTTTATACATATGTAATTAAATCGTTACTTTCGTTATATGTTAGAAGACTGCGTGTCAAACATATACTGATGTTTGCGCTTAGAAATCTTTTGTGTCGTGACATCTGTTGTGTATATTATCTCTGCTATATTAATATACTTATTATCCGTTTTCGAAACCTAAATACGTGGTGCTTTTGATAACGGTGTACCAAATGCAATTTATCATTTATCTGTTTAATTTGTAACATTATTTGAAAAATGCGTGACTTCAACTAACAACAATTATATTTTCAAGAGTTCAAAATTAAGATTAGTGTAATAATTCGCGATTTACTGCGAATCTATTATGTCTTGACAGTTACATTATTATTCACGTATGAGAAAATCGCAAGTTACAAAAAAATGATAAAACATTGAAATACAATTAAACTTGATGCTATAGACATTGTAAATCAAGTTTTTTCTTATATACATTTGGTCCAATAAAAATATTCCTCAAATTATAAATCAAGATTAATTAAAGAATATATTGAGACGTGATTGTTTCTCACGTCATATAAAAACCAATCATGTAATGTAAAATGTTCCAAAATTATATAAATAATTATTTTTTATAAATTATAAATTATTAATTATTAATTATTAATTATTAATTATTGATTATTAATTATTTACATTCAAAAATCATTGAATTATATAATACGTATTTCTTTGTTTTTGTTTCAAATATTCATATCTTTTTACAAAATTAAAAACATTATTTAAACATGATTTAAAACATTATTTAAACATTAAACAGTACGAAATTGGATAACATAGCGAATAATTATTCTACTTTATATAATCACATTTCGACATTTTCTTTCTTATATTTAATACATCATACTTCCTTGTCATGAACATGTCCATTATTACTATTCTCTTCTTTTGCTTTTACCATCAATAATCGATAAAGTTTGTTTTTAATGATAAAAGAATCTAGATAATTATTCATAACTTTGTTTAGTCAAAATAAAAAATAAAAAATGAGAGAAACAGATGTGAACAACGATAATTCATTGAAAAGTCTCTACTCTAAATCAAATAGTAAGAAATTGATCAAGTTTTAAATTTACACGCGGTTTGCAATTTTAGTTCCCTGCATTCTCTTTCATACATGTTGATCATGTACTCGTCAATTATACTTCGAATTATTTATGTTCTTCGAATGAGTAATTTTCCGGCAGACAATGATGCTGCCGGCAGTAATAATCCTGGCCTACTTCCTCGTGACACAACGTTCCATCGGGAAAGTACGGATCGACACCAATGTTGAGCATTTCTTGGCGTGGAGTGTAGAAATCAGATGATTTTTTCTTTCGACAGTATATAGTACATGCTTTCCACGGTTCTTCGGCATCATGAGAATACTGTCGCCCCGGCAGATTTACCGACAGTTCATCCGTCAAATTTGCATTTTTTGCAAATTTGTTAAACTTTCTGCATTTTGTGGTAGTAATCTCATCGATCGTCCATCGTTCATCAGTGCAGAGTAAGAAATCATCGCATATAACCATGTCGTAATATGGTTCCATGCAATTCGCCGTTCTATGAGCCTTATGTTCGCAAGAACGTCGTTTGACAAGTACGCCTTTGGATTTCCTTAAGCAACTGCTTTTACAAGAGTCTTCCTTCCATTCACTCCAGTTGTCATCTTCGCAATACTTAAAAATATACGGCGGTTCGATAAGGGGCACGCATTCTCCGCCACGACATTCTTTCCCAAGTGCGCAATAAGTTCCTAAAAAAAATCATTACATTTAATGTATTAAAAAAATTAAACGATAAAATTTAAGTTAATAATCAGAAAAAATGACATACCATTCAACGCGCGTCCGGCGAAGTAAAACTTATTCTTCTGAGGCGTCTCGCATTGTAAATTTTGACATGTATCATGATATGTGACCACATTTGCATCTTTGTCGCGCAAAAATAATTCGCATTGTGCTTTCGCGGTCCATTCTCTTCCAAGTAAATCGTAATATTGCGAATCTTGAAATATGTCTGATGTCGACCAATTATAATCATAGTCATCGTTATTATCTTCGTCATTATCATCGAGCTTTTTCCGTTTCATATTATCTCGAAAACACGATTTCTTTTCCAACTGAATTTTTATCTCTTGACGACTTTTTGAAGACCATATTATGTTTTCTCGATAGGGCCGAACACGTGACATTATGGACACATCATTCATGTATTCATCTATTTGTTCCTCATCGCTTGCCAATCCTAAACTGTCAAACGTGTACATAAAATTTTAAAATACGTTTTTTACTTTGCATTGTTTTACTTTGCAATAAAATACTTTTTTGTAATTTATAATTTTTGAATACCTAACATACTGAACAATTAAACAATAAATTCTTTTAATATAATCTCCAAGCTATTTACTTTTAAACGTACAATTAAATAACTTTTTGTAAAGAAATATTAAATTTAGTAAATAAACATGGTATACACTTACAGATTGCCGATTAAATGAACGGCATTAATAGACGATCTGAAACCAGAACTTTCGATTTCTTTTGGAAAAAATTGGACTATCGCGCATGAAATATTCTGGCTGCATGCGCCATCAAAGTAAGATTCTCCCCAAACTTCTTCATTTCGGTAAGACGGACGCCCACGATATTTCCCGATACGATACACACGTATACGCTTATAAAGAGTCTTTCCGGTTTTGTAAAGACTAATATCCCAGTGATTTGGATCACCTTGTGTAGGATTGAGAGTTTTCGCGTATTTGCAGAACGAAGGAAGCAGTGCTTCGACATCGCCGTCAAACACGGACAAAATTGACGGTTGTTGTCGCCATATATCCAGATGTACCAAAGAAATATTGATAGGAATACCCAAAGTCGGATGATGAAAAAAAGTCTGGATATTATTTACATATACATACATCATATCATTAATTTTTGTATCATCTTGTAATATAGGCTTAAACTTGCGATATGCTTCTACATCAACGAATATGGCCAATTCTATGGTAAATTTTACTTGCTTGTTTGATTTTTGTGTCTCACGTTTTTTGGATTTTTGTATTTCATCGATGTAGCCTCGTTTTAATCTGATATTGTGCAAAAGAGCAGAATCATCGAAATATGTCAGCGATCTTTTGACGAGGTAAGGTATACCGAATGAAAGATTCTTCTCTTTTGTAACGCAGAAATCGTCGATGACAAACAATGGTGTGAACACGTTCCGCAAAGGCCGAATCTCTAATATATCGTCTTCCACAAAAATAATTCCTTTCTATTTTAAAAAGATATATATATGTTTTATACTTGACAAATAAAAAGAAATAAAGGTGGAAAGTAAAGCCATGACAATTTCAACAGTTTGTTTTTCATATGATACTACTGACCAATCCATGTTCTTGACAAAAGTTGATGGCCGCAAAGCTGAACTGATCCTCGTGAAGATAGAAGCAAATATCCGGTGCTTTCAACTTCCACAGTTTTTGTGCAACACCTCTTGCGTTATTTCCCCATACATCGAACGCAGACGATGCAACCTGATCATTTCTACGCAGATTGAGCTGTATGAATTTTCCAAAAACTTTCAGAGTTAATGGAATCTGTTAATTTAATGACAAGAAAAGACATTATAATTTACGAATAATGCTTTAGGCGTTCTACAATAAATAACACATTACGATACAACGGACGTACCTTTTTTGCTCCTGCCGAGTTCCATGCCGGCAGCAATATTATTTCGCTATCTTGTGTGATATACGCGTACGTCAGATTTATTAAAATTATTAATACCAATTTCAATAAAAGAAACATGTTTAGTTTGCTTGTCTTTATTTAATTGAAAAAATTTAACTTTTTTTATAAATTACAAGTTCTTTTATACATATGTAATTAAACCGTTACTTTCGTTATATGTCAGAAGATCGCGTGTCAAACATATACTGAGATCTGCGCTTAGAAATTTTTCGTGTCGTGACATCTGTTTGTATATTTTCTTTGCCATATGTACAAGTTTTTCGAACTTTGTTCGAATAATTTTATAATAATTCTCTTTTTTTCTTTCTTCCTTTCTTTCTTCAATGATCTAAAACTTTACGAATTTCTATCTCAACCTTTTATTTATTATATATATTAATATTAAATATTATATAAATTAAAATTATATATATTATAATATTACTATAATGTTTAATTCCGTGATTTTAATTTTAATGAATATACACCGAAATAACCGAAATTATCGAAATTTTGGGTTCTTCAAAGATTTTTTTACAATACCCACTCCTCACTTAGTCTTTGTGACTGAACTTGAAAATATCTTTTTACGTTTTTTAAAATAGGAGAAATTTTTTATACAGTTTTCCTCTTTTTTTTAATATGTATACACACACATACACATAAGTACCTATAAAGTATAATCTTAATTTCAATAATTAATACATTTTTTTTTGCATTTTTTTCTAGCGCTTCGCATATTGTAAAAAAAAAAATTAATCATAAATTATTGTTTTATTAGCACTAACCAAAATGTTTTTTTTTTTGTATTTTTATTCTAGCTCAACTTTTGTGAAATAGATAAATTATGTACTTTTTTGTAATTTAAAGTAAAATTAAATTTTTTTTTTTTAATGTGTTCAATCGTTTATTAATAAGATTTTAAGTTTCTTTTTCCCTTGAAAATCGCGCTCAATTCCACTTTTGACCAAAAAAGGGAATATTGAACGATTGGCCCAGTAACAGAATAATAAAAATTCTTACGGTTGGTGACCTGTTTTTAGCCAGTATAAAGTGTTCAACTCGCACAGTTATCTCTTCTGTACCTGACCGACGAGCATTTGTTCAATTATATTCGACTGTTGCGGCTCGTCCACATCTAACTCTAATTCTTCTTCTGGTAAAAACGTAACACTTACATTTAAAATAAAATCGTTAAATTGTAACACAAACTTATAAATT